TATTAATTATTTCCATGGTGAAATAAGTTAACTTTTCATGTGTATTTGTAACCTACAACTGTACAATATTGTTGTTTTTTTGGTTTATAAAGCAACATGACCAGGGGAGGTGAAGACGTAATCATAATCAAGGTGACGTCTGGCTGCAGACATAGGCAGGTACAGCTCTGTTTGGTTCTTGATGAAGAGTGGAGTCCTGCTGAGCCACAACAGACAGACAGACAGACAGACAGACAAAAAAACTACAGTCACAACTCAATGCATCTTTCACTTGAGTCCAAACTAGAGGCACAAACTTAAATAGGCAAATCCATTCCTAACACAGTCTACCAAGTACAGAGGCAACAAGATACTGACAAAAACCATCACAGAAATAAGAAACTCTACTGAATGACAATATTAAAACCACCAATGTCTTACAATTATTATATTGAATGCACTGTTATAACACGGATTTCCATGGCATTATTCATGAAAAATTATATTTGATCCATTTAATTTAATTTGCTGACACTTTGTATAGCTGTTGTTGGCTTGGTTATGTTTTGGTATCAGCTATGTGTTACAGTGAAAAATCTGAATACATTTGCATGTTCAAAATAAAAATAAATAAATAAATAAGAGCAATAATAACATTCAATATTTTCCTTTGAGTAAAATGTATTATGTTGTCATTTACCAAGATGAAGTTTAGATTATGAGATGTTAAATAATTCATAAAATATTCTGCTAATCTCCACTGAGTTGAGAAGAGCTGGATAAACATTCATGATCATTCTCAATCAGCAATTTGTATTCACTGGTCTATACCTCTGCATATCTCCTGACCATAGTGGGAGAGAAACAGGACAAGAGACCCACGGTTTGACAGAAAGGTGGCCAATCATTTTCACTGTCTTTAGATTGACTTTGTATTAACTGCAGCAGATTAGATTTAGTGAGTGTTTTGACAGGTGCACTTTATTCAGTATTAACCTGTTATGTAAGAAGGCCCAATCATTAGAACCTGTTTGAAACATAATTACACATTCTGCCAGCTCTGACTGCATACGCCACAGTCATTTATTAAAGCCCTCAATCTCTCTGAACTGAAAAGTACAATCAAATTCCCGTATTAATACATGAAAATGCCAAAGCTATATGTTAAAATGTCAAACCTATTAATGGCACTGCCAGTCGGCTGAGCTAAAATGTCAGGAACAAAACAATTGTAGCAGCAAATAAACAGGAAACAGCTTTGAACACTCAGGTGAGACCCATTCAGCTCATGTAAATTATATTATGAATGAAAAACCTTTGAGATTTGGGAATAAAAATGTAATGATTTGAACTGCAATATTTTTGGTAACTTTTTACTCTAACTGTAAGAAAATTCCTCCAGAACTGTATTTAATTTTTTAGCAATCTACAAATAAGGGTGGGCAAAGTTGACAAAAATTAATACATAAGTAACAATATTTAAACATTATATTAATCCAAAAGAAATTAGGTTTAACGTGTATTTAAATTAGGTTTAAGTATCAAACGTGAACAAACCCACAGAAAAGGTTGATATATTTTACCATTAACTAAATATCACAAGTCTTATCATTTTCAATATGTACACTGTAGAAATTAAGAATGGAACTAAACAGAGAGTCATTTAGTTCTATTGACAATTTTGGCTTATAAAGAATAAAAACGTTTGTCATAATTTCAGATAATTTAAAAGTCCATACATATATATGTATATATATGTCTGTATGTTCTATTTTCCTATGCACTTTATAGTTGTGTGTTGTGCAGCATCAGTTTGAGAGGAGGCCCCATTGAGAGGCTTCAATCACTCTGTAGGGGTCAGTGACATCACCACTCTAGCCCAAAGTCACCTTCCTCTGATTACACTTCAGTTAAGACAAGAGCACAGGGATACTTGTAAAACCTGTTAATTCACTCATCAGAACAACTCAATAGACTCCCTACAAGTAGTTATTCTATGTAGTTGATATAAGAATAGATTTGATATAAGAATCACCCAGCGCAACCCTCAGAGGCTTTACTAACAGCAAATGAATAAATGACATGACATCATAATTTCAAAATCAAACTGTTGTAGGTGTGTAATAGAAAATGTGTTCATACTTACTTGGTTTGGTGCTGGTCCCAGCCTAGTTTAGTCCTGATGTAGCCTTGGTTTGGTCCTGGGCCTGTTGTGATAACAAATTTGTGAGTGTGATTATATAGCTGAAGTAAATACAGGTGATAAACACTAATACTCAACCCAAACCCTAAAATAGTATCGTCTCCTCTAAATGTTCTACATGTATTATTGTTAAAAACATGAGCTGCAATAAATAAAGAGCAGAATGCAACACTTTGTATCTATAGTGAGTCATAGATGTTCATAGTTCAATGACAAGTTCACAGCTCAAAACTTGCAACACAAATAACCAAATATTTCAAAGAAAAAGTATACACAATAAATACTGACCCACAAAATGTCTTGTTACATCTATCATGTATTGAACGATGAATCAGTATAGTCATACATTATTATAATAGCATTTTGTCCTGCTTTCAAGCCATTTTGCTATGGCCTAGTTCTGAATAAAGGTGATTTGGTTCAATTAAACATCTACTAAGGGTTTGCTATGTACCACCAGTCTGGTCTTCACCAGTCTAATCTTCTGTTATACGTCTACATACTGAAAGGACTTTGATGAAAACCATTTGGATATGCCTGGTGATGAGATATTATAGAATATGACTGAACTTCATACATGCTTCAATAGGTTAATCCATAAATACTCCTTACCCTGCATCACGAGACAGAGGTCTGTTCATGCTGTCTGGTCACCAGGAGATAGACTGCTCCATTGGCACTATTTAAAGGTCTTATATTAAACAAAATCAACTCTTGTGAGCTTTAAGACAATGCTTATGTTGTTACCTCCTCAAAAACACACCTGAAGTTGTGTTTTGTTTCATTCACAGATGTTTTAGTAACCATTTATTATTCATTCCCATCCCCATTATGCATCCCCAGAGCTCAAAACCTTTTGATATAATGTAGTGGTAATTTTCAAGTTAACACCTAACTCTTACCTTTAGTTCAGTAGAGATTAGCAATTCCAGGGATCAAATCCATCCAAATCATTCTAGTAAAGGAATATGGAATTTAAAAACACAATGGAGGTCCTCTATTACCACATGACATCATATGGTGGAACAGAGTGTTTTCTGTTTGAGAAAAGAATACAAGCTAAATATGCAGGGAATGTGTGTTAAACATGTGTGAATTAATCAAAATTCCAGGTATATTTTTGATACAAAATTTGAGTAATATGGGCCCTGTAAAGGCTGAGTTAAATGCAGAACAAGAACAATAATTATCTTAACGTTTAACATTACACTATCAATTAATGTTTAGCGTTTTAACTGTTCACAAAAAGATAAAAACAGGCTACCTGGATGTGTGAGCGCATGTCTAAAATGTGTGTTATAACCTATTTTTCACCAGATTTTATAGAAGAAACCAGTATATAATTTGTACATCTCAAATAGCCAATTTCCTGCAGTGATCCATGGGGCAAATACATCTCATTCTGGTAAAATATGAGGGTTGTTTAGACTGGCCCAGCTGTGTAAAGTAAGAAAGACAGTGTTAAAGCAGGGAGGCGACACGTTATGAGAGACTGTCTGTCCCTTCGGCTGATAGACCCGACTGGCCTATTCATCAGACCCCGACGCTGCCCGGGTGTCACTTATATTACTGCGCAGCCTGCCCTGACTGACGGCCCAGAGTGGGGGGAGAAAAATGGCACCAAAATATGGCTATGGATGCCCCGAGAGAAAACAAGGCAGTGTAGTTTGATGGATGGGTGTATTTGACCCATGGGCGAGCTGGCTGAGCTCCTGCCCCTCTGCCCAGTTAGGGACGGCCCCTGTCAGAATGAGGGGCACCATAGTCTCTTCTGTCATTGGTGTCAAAACAGACCATCTCCATATTCAACAGATGGGAAGGGTCTATGTGATGATGTAAATGCAGATAAAAAGTATTTTTCTGGCAAATATTGCAATTGTGATTAAATTTGTGATATACGTTTAAAAAGTAGGATTCTGTTGTGCTCTTCGAAGACAACTCGAAGAGCATTAACATTTGAAAGAACATTGAAATCTGAACTAAAAACTTCCAAGTTCCACTAAAGCAGATGTAAAAAGAAAATAATAATTTAAAAATATATATTAACATAACTCAAATTATGTTGAATTGATTTTCATGTAGGGTATAATATTTTCATTTAATTTTGCATGTTAGGCCTTATTATATTATTCCTCTTGCGGATGAATAAAAGTAATTCTGACTCTGATTTTGCTCTGCTCTGGGCAAGGGACTCGAATGAAAAAAGACATATAGGGGTATTACGTCCTGGAGATGGAGCTTGTATTTCAGCATAAGCCTGGACTTGTTAAGCGCCTTTGATGTAATACCCCCATATGCTAATTCAAATGTAGTGGTACACATGTGTTGTGGTAGATATTTGTACACATAAATAAACTAAAACAAACAGGGATATTCGGCTTGTTTGGCTAAATATACGTCTCTGTATAAAATAAGATATGTTTTTTTGTGTATGTGGCTTCATTAAGGCTATTATCCAACATAACTCATACTTCATGTTCATCTAATAACAGTCATAATCTCAGCAACAACTTTTCCCTTGCAGTGCAAATTGTCTTGATAACTTATGGCACACTACAAGCAAAACTACTAAATTCAAAATGAAAGAGTTCTTTGCATAATTTACAACAAAGCCTAAATAATTCATGTGGCATAAGGGAGCCTATTTATATTTCTCAGATATTTTGCGCAATTGATGCTACAATATAAATGTAAGCCCTTCTAGTTGTTATTTTCCTTTTTGCCTTGGCTGTGAAAATTTGCATCTTTTATTTACCTTGGCATCCGGCTCTTTCTGCGACGTGCGACTGAGTGACGTCACTACGCTGACGATTGCGGAAGCAGTGGCTCAAAGCTTTCGCTCCAGCTCAAACCCAAAACAGAGGAGATGTTTCTCCTGTAATTTCACAAATAAACGTCAGTAACTGTGGACATTCAAGGACTGTATCGCCCAGATTTAAAGAGCATCTTTTGGTGTCTGTCACTCGAGTGAGAAGGCAAAAAACATCGCTGCTACAAAGATGGAGGTAAATACACAGGATTAGCCTTAGCCTCAGTTTGGTACGTAAACTGTATCAGGATTCACGGAGGCGATCATAAACACCTAACAGCATGTAACAATTGAGTTTAGTATGTGTTGTTCCTTGTCCGTTCATTAGGCGTGATGAAGAAAAAAAATGAGATTGAGATGTTGCCAATTGCATTTCACAATTAAAGCTAAAGTTTATAAAAATCTACATTGAACGTGGCACTCATATAAAGTAGAGCATTTGCAGTCGCTTATATTGATTTTCTTCGCAGCAGGAGTCAAGTGGCACTGGGCCAGAGGCTGTGGCTGCATCCCCAGCAGGTGCAAATAAGTCAAAGGTAGGCCCAGTACTAGTTTGCAATATTTGTTTATTTGTTAAAGATTCTAAAATTTTGTTTGTGCCCTCATAGTTGGATACATTGTCCAAAGATGACTTGATAAAGTTTGCCAAGAAGCAGATGGCTGCAATGCAAAAAATAAAGAGCAAATGTGCAGGTAATGAACAGAAATATATTGTAGATTTTTTATGTTGCATGCAGAAAATAGATTCAAGTTAAAAATGCTATTATTTTTATGTTCAGATTTAGAGAAAGAAATTGAGACCCTAAAACACCAACCAGATCCCAGTAAGGGCAGCTCTGAAGATGCCATATTAATACAGGTTTGCTTCCTTTTTCCATGAATGTTATTGAAAGTTAATTTCTGTATATTCTAAAATGCATTTTGTACATGATGGACAACAGGAGCTGACTGAGCGAATGGATGCATTACTATTAGAGAAGGCAGAAACCCAGCAAAACTTTACAAAATGTCGCAAGGATTTAGAGAGGACCAAAGAGCAAAGCAAAGTAAGCTACAGTTTTTTTTGTTTTGTTTTTTTTATTTTGAATGAGGTGTTCTTGATGCGCACATTAGTTCAAGGTATAGACAATTACATTATTACAATATGCTTTATGTTGGACAGGATGACTTGGCAGCACTTCAAGGAGAGCTGGATCGTGTTATAGAGGACCATCAAAAGAGGATTAAGATTCTTGAAACCAGCATTGAAGAGTCAAATAACAAACACAAAGAAGAAGTGGCTTATTTCCAGAAACTACTCAAAGAACGTGAAGAGATTGACAGAGAGAGGGAAAGTGAACGTGAGAAGCATCGTAAAGCACAGGAGAGCTCTGATGAAACCCGGCATTGTTTGGAGGCTGAATTAGAAAGTATTCAGGCAGAACTTGAAGCTGTGCAAAAACAGAAGTCTAGGGAAATGAATGAGTTCCAAGAGAGTCAACAGACTGAGCTAACGAAGGCCCAGCAGGAGGTGGAGAACCTGAGGGAGGAACTGAGCCAGAGGAGCCTTCAACACGAGGAGGAGATCAGGGCTTTGGAGGAGGACTTTGAGATCGAACGGGACCGACTGCTGCTGCTGCACGAAGAACTCACAGAGCAACTCGCACTCAAAGGCTTGTACAATATAATTTTCACTCTATTAAAAAAAATACATAAAAAAAAAATTTAAAAAAATAATAAAATTGGTTACTGGTTATCACTGTTTTCCATTGTTGCATAATTAAGTGTTTAAAATCCAAGCAAATGTAAAATTGACTTTAGAAAAAAAGATTCCTTTTCTGTCTCCTTAGTTTTGTATATGCACCAACATCCTAAACATGTTCTACTCTTTTTGATTATAATAGCTATTCATTTCCATTATCTCTTTTATATTTTTATAAGCTTTATAAGATTTTCCACTCCACAGAGTCCTAGGCACAACAGAATGGTTAATACTGTAGCAGTGTGTCTGCTGTCTTTGTGCCCCATACTATTAAATAAACATTTTGTGGTTTGTATTGCTCTCAACAATCAAACTCAGAGAATTTCACTGGGATGATAAATATCTTATAGATACAAAAGAAATGTAACTTTTAGTAAACTCTGTATAATAAAGCAGTTAACAGCACTGCTTTAGTAATATTAAAGCAAATGATTATAGAGCTACACTAAATATATCAAGTTTATCAATGAATATATTAACAAACATTTCTTTTTCATTTATTCATTTACAGATAGCTATTTGCAGGATGTCCAAGAGGAAGATGAGGAACCTGCTCGTGGTTCTGGCATTGCTAAAATGTTGGAGCTGTCCCGTCGCATTCAGAACTCATCTGCACACGCAGAAGGTGAAGAGGAGATGGAAATGGGAAAACTGAGGGAAGTTTTGGAAGACCTTCAAGCCCAGAACACAATGTTACAGGATGAACTGACTCTTCTCACAAATCTTAAAGGAGAACTGGAGGCAGAGCTGGAAAGAGCCAGGGAGGAGTTTCAGACAGAGAGAGAGGAGCTGGAGTTTAAAATCAATGAGTTACAAATGAACAAAGACGGTCTTACTGGAGAAATAACCCCAACTTTAGATGTATGCAGCCAACAACCAAGTGAAAATGATGAGAAACCTATTGAAGAATCCAAGGTGGTGATTGCAAATGAAGAAAACCAAAACTTATCAAAACTGGAGGAGCAGCAAAAGATAAACCAAGATTTGAAGGCCCAATGTGAAGCGTTGACCAAAGAAAGAGACTCTATTATGGCGGAATACAACCACACAAGAGGAGTTTTGCAAAGTTTTGAGACAACGCTAGGTGAGAAGACTGAAAATTTAGTTTCTCAATACAGTGCCATGAAGGAACAAGGGGCCATTGCTATAAAAGAGCTGCAAGATAAGATTCAACAGCTGACTGAAGAGAGGGATGATGTCATTGCAAAAGTTAAAGAAGTTACAGAAGAGAAAAATGCCATCTTGGAGAACCTACAAGAGCTGAAACTAAAAGTTGAAGCATTCTCAAATGAGGAAAAGAAATTACAAGCAGCTATTGAGGAGCAAACAGCTTTAGCATCAGAGCTTACACATTCCCTGGAAGAGGTAACTAGACAGAAAGATGACACCGTTTCTCAGTTAAATGAACAAGAAAATATGATTGAAGACCTCAAAATAAAAGTCGAGAAACTGAAGGAGGAACGTGATGAAATGCAGTCTCAACTTCAGATTCAAGAGGAGGAAATGCAAAAATTTCAGAGTGAGAAAGCTAAAGAAATTGAGACACTGCTCCAGGAGAAAGAGTTAAGTGCATTAAAACTGGAGAAAGAAGCTGGGTTAAAGAGTGAAAAGCTAGAAAGTGACCTTAAGGAGGAGTTTTGTAAATTGCAGCAGACTATTGAACTGCTTGAGTCCAAAAACAGTGATCTTGATCAAAAACTTGAGGAGGCATCATCACAGCTCGTCCAAATGGAGGAGAAGAAGAAACAATCTGGATCCACAATGGCGGCACTAGAATCTGAATTGGAAAAGGAGACAGTGGAAAGACGTGAATGTGAGGCTAAGCTAATTACGCTAACTGAAGAAGCCACAAAAGCAAGAGAAACTATTACAACATTGGAACAAAATCAGTCAGAATTGATGACAAATTATACAGGGGAAATACAGGAGTTGAGGATGCATATTCAAGAGCTTGAGATGGAGAGAGACAAGCTAAAATCTAGTCTTGAAGAAGATAACGAAGAGGTCAGACTATCTGTGCTAAATGAGCTACAGACTCACATTAGTGAATTAGAAAGGGAGAAAACCGTGCTGCAAAGTAATCGTGAGGAAGTGATGAAGGATGTAGAGGCTTTGCAGAAAGACCTGGAGGACATGAAAGCTATAAATGAGAAGATGAATGAAGAAAATCAAATGCTACAAGCTAAAGTTTCACTGCTAACTGAAGAAAAAGAGGGAGATCAAACAGAAGGACAGATGGAGGTAGAATACCGAGCCCAGCTGACAGAGAAGGACACAATCATATCTCAACTGAGGGAAGAAATCACAGCTCTGCAGGTCAGTAATATGTGAAGAAAAGTATTTTGGAGTTGGCAAACAGAAATGATACCCAGATACTAATCAATACTATGAGTAATATTAAAACTATTATTGTTTGTTGAAAATCAATTTAATATTCATCTAAAAATGTGTTAAAAATATTTATTGTTGTATTGAAATCAGTATAGAGTGTTGCATTTTTACATGCTACTATCTTTGTATAACTAATTTAATTTAATATTACTTTTCAATTTAAGGTTTCCCTTACTTGGCAGCCATTAGGGAAAAAAAGACATGAAATCCAGCTAAACCATCACAGTACTGGAAATAGTTGCCTAATTTATTTGCTGTTTGTTTTTTGTTTCTCATTAAAGTCTGCAACCCCCTCGACCGCCTCTGAAAATGCTGACAGCAGCTTTACAGAGAAAATAGGTAACAGATATTTTATGATTTTTTAATATCAATACAAATATTAAAACTTGAATATTTGATATGTTATGTGTTTCAAAAATTTAACATTTGTCACCAACTCGAATTAATGGTAAATAATTTGTGATTGTGATTCAGCCCTGCTGGAAAAAGAGCACAAAGAAAAGGATGAGAAGATGAACAAAATCAAGGCTGTGGCTGTTAAAGCAAAGAAGGAGCTGGACATTAGCAAGAAAGAGGTCAGAACTTATTTTAATTTATTATGTTATGTATCCAGAATAAGGCAATCTATATTTGTATTTTTTTCTTCTAGGTTGTGGCCCTTAAAGGAGAAATAGAGAGTTTGAAAGTCGAGCGTGAGAAAGTCAACAGCTCAATGAAAGATATAATTCACGGTGCTGAAGGCTACAAGGTATGACCTTATTCTATTCTCCTGGAGTGTCCGCCACCTCTTTGACAGAACTGTTCCACATTATAGCATTAAATGTTTCTGCCTCCACTGGGACTTGCAAAAATGTCAGCGGGTGAAGTTACATGTCTGATCCATTCCAAGTTATGTTTAGCTATAAAAACAATGAATGAATGTGGAACATTTCAGACAAAACGATATTATCTTCATGAGACAAGCAAATGTGTGGGACCATAGGGAACTGCATAATACACCTTTAATGTATTTAATTAGAATTATAACACTGCACTGTTTACTGTGAGTTCTCACAAAGAAGGAAAAACACATTTTCATAATTATTTTACCATAATATTGTTTAAAAGGCGTATCACAAAAAGAGCACAGACTCATGACTTATAAATGGTGCTTCTCTGTTGCTAATTGGCAGACGGGCTCCCTAAACAGTCCCCAGGCAGTGCTCTGCTTTATGACTGTGTCTGCGTTATGGAGGAAACCACTGTGTTGTGTCTAATGATGAGCTGAAGTGTAAACGAGACTATACCTGAGAGCAATAGTGTTTACCTTCACACAAACTTCAGCTGATGGGTGGATTAAAACATGTCACAATGTTTAAAATTAGGATTGTTATGAATGAAAGTGTGTCTGTTTTTCAACATTTATCACATTGTCTCAATAGATAGTCTATAGTATCTTACATGACTAGTTTTGTTACAGGAGACTTTCTAATTAAAGCATTTAGTGCTGTTGTGGCTGAGTGGCTAGCAGCATTCTTTCCTTTGATTCTCCTTTTCTATGTTCTAAATTAATGCTTCTAACAAATTGGTACTGTTTACTTGCGTATGTAGAATCTGCAGATCGATTACGACAGGCAAACGGAGCAGTTGGATAAAGAGAGAGAGAGAACAGAGGCGGCCGAGAGACAGATCACTGAGCTGACCAGGCGACTCAGCACTGCCGTAGCACAGGTGAAACTAATACACACTCAATCACACGCGCACACACACACATATTACAAATGCACACACTACTCTCTCCTGACACTAAATCTACACCACTTTGTGAAGTCGTACATCTCTCCAATAGCTGTAACCTAGTGCCCATCTGATTTATACTGTTATTTTAGCCACCATCACTTAGCCAGCTGTGCACTGACAGTAAAGATGCCCAATATGAGAAAAGAATTATGTGACATGTTTTCCTTTTTTCAAATGTTCTGTAATAGATGAAGTGGGAATTTTATAGATTAATATACTGTATTTATATATGATTAAATCTATACATATACTACATGAATGTGAATGCTAGAACAGATATGAAATGTCTCGGATTTATGACACAAATGAGCAATAAACTGGCATTAGCCAATGTATGCCCTACCAAATGCCCAAAGTAGTACCTTCATCACAGTCGCAGCATGGTGGCTAAGTAGTTAGCGCCTCCTACCCCACAGCAATATGGTCCCCTAGGTTTGATTTCCTGACTTGATTTTCCTGGTTTCATCCTTCCATTAAAACCATGTAACCAGGAAAGAATTGTAAACATGTTTAAAATTTTGTTAAAATATTTTTCAGCTTCTTCTGCTTATTAAGTGAAAAGTACATGCATTTACATTGGACAGCATATTTACTTATTACTTATTAACTTATTTTTTGAGAAGCATATTTTACAGTTCTGCTGAACACACCTTTGTTTATACTGTGTGGTCCGTCCTTTCTCAGTTATAGTCCTTCAGATATGACTGGGTGAGCTTTAAAAACAAACGGTAATATAGAAAAATGTACATATCCAACATTTGAATCTTGTAACTGTCTCTTTTCCGCTGAGAAAACCAGAGGCAGGTAAATGGAGCGAAGCGTGGCCCCCATCTGCTGACTGCACATCACAACAATGGCATTTTCTTAGACACAGGTTTATCTAATGTGTGCTTTAGGTCTCAGAGGGATCGGGCAGAACAGAAATCCAGTCAGGGATCTCAACACACATCTGGACATCTTTGTTTACCGATCATGGCATCAGCGCTGGGCTGACAGCCAGTGGGGATGGGGAGAGGGAAAGCCCACAGCGCCTGCTTTGTCAGACACGCTTGAGTGATTTCCTACTGTGTCACATGTGTTCATGGGAATTTGATTTCTCATTTCAAAGAGCTGAATAAAAAGACAAGATGCTTAGTTATTTATCACATTTTGGTCTATCCCTTTAAAGAAGTAATGATGCCACAGTAATGTCATGATTCTTATTTCGAACTCTGTATTGATACAAAGGATATGACTTCATGCCAATTCTGATCTAGAATAAGACCATTCTAAAACTTCTCAGAAAAGGTTGATTTTGTCCAATTTTGTCCAAGTTATTTGATCTAGTTTTAATACATGTTTTAGCATCAGATTAGTATCAAGGTATTAGCTCATTTCGTAAATAAATAATATTTTCCTGTGTGTGTGTGTGTGTGTGTGTGTGTGTGTGTGTGTGTGTGTGTGTGTGTGTGTGTGTTTTTTTTTTACAGACCGAAACCCTGACGAGTGAGAAAGAGGACCTACTGGCTGCTATGGAGACCTTAAGAAACACAGTGAAGCAGCTGGAAGCTCATAACCAGGATCTTCAGAAACAAATGTCCAGCCTTGAGAGAGATGTGGTGGCGGAGAGGACTCTAAAGGAACACAAAATTAAGGTGGGTGTTGTTTGTGATTGTATTCTAGTGAAATCATGCGCAAGATTTGATATGACATATATCAATGAGAAGATCCAGCAGGTAAAATAGTCTAATTTTAACATCATCCAAAAAAATTATGGTACCATCTTGGCTGTTTTAGTTAAACATATTCTGACCGAAAATCATATGGCTAACACGCTAGGTTCATTCGTCGGCATTTATATGAAATAATATTTGGGCTACAATTTTTATCTGAAGAAATACAACATGAAGTTTTTTTTTTCAAGCATTTTATATAACTTTCCAATTAAATTATATGCAAAGAAAGCTCATGGGTGAGACAGGGTATAGCTGTCCAGATAGGTTAATACAGCAACTTAAAAAAAAATTATCTTAATTGTGGTCCAAATATTATCATTACTACCACAGTAGATTATAATTTCTTGCAATCCAGATCCAAATCCATTAAATCCAGATGTTTAATTTGAAAATGACTGCATACTGTTTTGGTGCCTATCTGACAAACTGCCTCTCCAGGAGTTGTCATCAGCCACAAAGGAGGTGGAGGATCTGGCTGCTCAGCTCCGCAGACAGCAGCAGCAGTCTCAGCAGACTGCCCAAGAACTGGAGCTACTGCGGAAGGTACAGTGACTCCCCCCGCACGCGCACGCACACACCCACACACGCACCCCCCCACCCCCGACACACACACACACACACACACACACCACACTGTCCTGGTACAAAGGGCTTTTAGACCAAGAGTCTCTGAGGGCCAGTCCAGTCAAGCGGCTCGACAGGTGATGGCTGCCCCGAGGCGAAAGTAGCAGCTCTCAATGAAAGAGCAAGTTATGGCTGAAGGCAGATGGTACTGTTCCATTAGCTCAGACTAGAGTAGGTCAGAGTAGAGCCATCAGGTTTGGATCATGTGACATCTTTGTACAACCAGGTTAAGGAAAATGACATGAGTTAGAACATTACATTAGAAAGAAATACAAGGAATCTTTATAGATACTTCAAAAATTGACAATATTAATTTAGTCGCAGCACAAATCTGTTGGTAGAGCATATACACTGACATGCCTAGACCAGTGTTTCTCAAACTGGTACGCAGGCTGACTTTTGTGGTACACAGAGCTTTCTGTAGTTTGTTTAATTATTTTATTTAGAGACTAATCTGTGAATTTTTTTCCCCTTTTGGGTTAATCATTATTTAGAATGGCCATCTCATTTTAGACCATGTTCACTCCTGATATAGGCCTGATATTGCCCGTGTTTAGGTTTGCTGTTACTCAAAAATCTTAATAGTAGCTTATGTGGTACTTGGTGTAAAAAAAATTTACAACATCTGGTTTAGTCTAACAATGTTTGTTCAACTAATAATATCCTTCTCACCCCTGTCTGTAGGAGGCACAGCAAAGCTCTCTTCTGGACATGGAGATGGCTGATTATGAACGACTCGTCAAAGACCTCAATGGAAAGTTGACTGAGGGAGAGGAAAGAGTGTCTGAGTTAAAGTCTCAAATAAACACTCTGATCCAGAACGAGGGGGCACTCAAACAGGAAATTGGTATGAGCCAAGTTGTACAGTTCAATGCATTTTGTGTTATGTTCTATTGTGAACTTGTGAAAATAATTACCTTTCTTGGTATTTTGTATCCTATATATGGTTTAATAGGTAGAGCTGGGCAATATGAGAACACAACATTAATCACAATTTTTTAAATCAATCTTCAGTTGTAATTTTAAATAACATTAAATTAAAAAATTGTCAAATGTATTCCTCCAAAGTCTGATCCAATCCCCAGGCTTTTATTGACAGAAGATCAGCTGTGGACATCTAAATTAAAAAGCCCCATCATTAAAAATTTGATTGATTAATAATAATTGTATTGATTGCATATGAACCTGAATTTAGATTATTTTGGTTTAGTATAACACATCCAAATTTCTGCATGTAAAACTGGAACTATAGGAAATGTATTCACATGTAACTATTTGTGATGGTAACAACACTCCCTTAATAGAAATGCTAAACATTTATCTTATTAATGCCACTTTAACAAGCCTATGTTCACTCATGTGCACGTATTGCCTGTCCCCAGAGTCCCTGAAGTCCCAGTTGGATCAGGGGGAGGAGAAGACCACCAAGATGAAACAGCTGCTGGTTAAAACTAAGAAGGACTTAGCTGATGCCAAGAAACAGGTCTGTGTGAATGCTCTATGTTTGTGTATTTTTATTACTATTAATTAAAATAATGTTATGTAACTGTGATAGTGGGTTTGTCCTTGAAGAAATAGCTGATCACACGTGCTGTATATGTACCCTACAGGAGTCTGCTTTAATGATGGCTCAAGCGTCACTGCGAGGAGAGCTAGAGGCAAACCAGCAGCAACTAGAAAATTCAAAGGTAGGACACTATTTATGGATTTCAGTGATGATGAATTTGGACTATTACATAGCATTACAATCTACAATTCAAGACAAAATATCTTATCTTTTAAATATCCTCAAAATGTCCTTAAAATTATGCCCATAACTGGATACTAAAATTTGTGGGTAATTGTGTGTTTGCCCTGTTTTTTGGATATTTATCATGATTAGTGGACTATTAAAAATAATAGTGATCATATTTTGATAATCATAATCATTAACAGGACTGTACAGACTCTCAAATACACACCAAAAACGTTTATATCAAAGATAATAGCATTATTTAATCAATAATTCATTTGTTAATTGCATCCCTAAAATCATATAATTCCCTTGAGGATTGATAAAGTATTGTGATTCATGTTGGAACAAAACCAGTGATTGTATACATGGGTTGGTCGGTTGTAATTTGTGCTTGTGTGTCTTGTTTGTTTAGATTGACGTGTGTGACCTGACAGCCGAGCGCCATCGATTACAGGAGCAGCTGAGGTCTGCACTGGAGCAGCACCAAAGAACCAACTCCTCCCTGCAACAGCGAGTCAGCAGCCTCCAGACAGAGAGAGACAACGCAAAGGTGCAATTTCAAGTTCAAATTTATATCTTGTTATGTTATGTATGACATGGTTTTAGTAACGTGTGTTCACATTTTAGTCTGAACTTGTGGCCACTGCAAGTGAGTTTGAAAGTTACAAAGTGCGAGTCCATAATGTCCTCAAACAACAGAAGAGCAAAACTACCTCCCAGAGTGATGGAGATTCAAGCAAAAGTGAAAGGTACTACTGTGTAAAACTCACTTACTAGATGTATTTGAATCGTATAATCATTGTGTTTAGATTTCTTTGCTAAGCCAAAAAATCAGTACCTAGAGTTTGTTTCTCCTGAGAGACAAACCTTTAATTAAAACAGATTGGTTGTGTTCACACTTATCCTGGTTTGAGGTGTTTAGTTCTTATCTGTATTTTATTCCAGGTTTGGTTGCAGGTTAAATACCAATTCAGTCACCATTTTGATGTGATGTACATGTAACTGGGTTGACAAAAAATCTAAACTTAGATATAATAAAAGTATCAATACTGAAAACATTTAATAAATAAGATTGAACCATTACAGTGTAGTGTGAGAATGGTTGTGATCTTTTTCAAAATGAATTCATTTGATATCAAAATCTGTATCCGGTATCCAGCATTTTCCTTAGTATCGCTTTGATATTGTGACAATAGACATGCATCTTAAACTAAGTCCAAAGCTTTGTTAACAATCATTACTTTATATCTTACAGGGACCAGTTGTCCTCCCAGGTGGAGCTGCTTCGTTCCAAGCTGAGTGAGAGTCAGCAGAGTCTTCAGAGCGTCACGTCTGAGCTGCAGCAGCTTCAGAGCGAACACGACACACTGCTGGAGAGGCACAACAAAATCCTCCAGGAAACCATCAGCAAAGAGGCAGAGCTCCGTGAGAGGTCAGACACACGCTGGGACCGCCTGATTACAGAGGGCCAGGTTTACTGATAAAACAGCAGGGAAAGATAAACAATACATACATACATTTACTTTATTAAGGGTCTTGTTTTTGTTCAAATACATCTGTGAGTAGCATATGGCACAATCTGTAATATTTTACAAGAGTTAAAGTCAAAGTTAAAGTTTTCACTGTTTTTTTTTGTTTTGTTTTATTAAGGTTGAGAGCACATCAGTTTGAAATATACAGTCCATTATTTGAATGCTTTTGATTGTTGATAATTGCTTACATTCATAAATAAGTATTCATGAATAGTAGGAGGGATGGGAAGAGACTCATTCAATTTCTTCCTTTTATTGAACCTTATTTATAGCATTAACTTAATTTCTAACTTATTTTGTTTAAAAAAAACAACACAAGACTGATCAACATTTGAGTAATTACACATATGTGCTTAACTTTTTACATTTATAAACATCCTGTACACTTTCAGCCCCTTCTTCTTTGTAACACTAATCTAGTTTGATATTGGTCTGCTCTTCCAGGCTTCTCTCACTGCAGTCTGAAAATGTGAGTCTTCGGTCGGAGGCGTCGCAGGTGCAGGAGGACCTGTCATCTCAGATCGAGGCTCAGCGTCAGACATACAGGGAGCAGCTCAGGAAGCTCCAGGACGAGCACAGAGCCACAGTGGAGACTCTACAGGGACAGCTGAGCCGAGTGGAAGAGCAGCTCTTCAACCTGCAGAGCCAGACCAGTAAGTATGCACACACAACTGCAGTTGGGAGAGTGAGGCTAACTCGAGGCACTGCTCTGTCCGAAGCTCTGTCTGACTGTAATCTGAACCTTGTTTTAACACCATCTGACAATGTATCAGGCTTTTTTTTGCTAAGATGTCTAATCTTTTTTAGCCAGCCCATAAAGTAGTGTGAACTTGTCAGCTATATTGAAATATTGACAAGCTGATACTAATTGATACTAGTATACACAAGATACTAGTTTGAGCTGCTATCTTTTTTTTTTAAATCACATTCACTGGACAGAAATGAATGTTTCCAGAATAGTTTTAGAATAATCTTGAGCTGTATCAGAATAAGGATAAGAACACATAGACTAGTGTACACCAATGAACCACAGTGGAACCTACCTGGACAACTCAGGGATTACACATAACACCATATGTAATATAAAAAAAAGTACTATTATTTAATGTTGCAAATTACATTCTATTGGCTAAAGCAGTGGTCCCCAACCCCCAGGCCGGGAACCAGTACCAGGCCGTGGCTTGTTTGGTACCGGGCCGCAAAAGCACGAACTCCCCCCTCCCATACGCCGCACGGACCATCCTAAACCAGAACTAAACCAGAACTAAACCAGGCCTAAAACAGGTCTAAAACAGGTCTAAAACAGGTCTAAAACAGGTCTAAAACCCAACCCCCTTCGGTCCGCGAAGTATTGTCTGATATAAAACCGGTCCGTGGCGCAAAAAAGGTTGGGGACCATATTTCTGTGACACCACTAGTCACACACTGTTGCAGGATTTATATGCAGTGCACCAACTTGTTTTTATATAAAGTAAAAATTTTGATTTGAAGTTTTGGACAGAATTGGACAGAAACAGAGACACAGGAGGTAGGAGGTGTGTGTGTGTTTACCAGTGACGCAACTCTGGGAGCTCATTCCTCACCTCCCACCCAGCTGCCCTCTGTATCCACCACCAAATAAACTGGACCCAATGACGGAGAACGTGTGTCTCTGTGTGCGTTTGTGTATTTTGTGTGTGTTTGTGTATTTTGTGTGTGCATAGCTGTGTGTTGGGTCGGTCCAGGTGTTGCCTCTGCTCCCAGCGCTCCTTCCCGCCTCTCAGTGTGGCAATCGGCTTCACGCTACATCTGGAGTGGATCGTCATTAGTAACTCGCACATGCTCACTCACAGCTTAAACCTAAAACACGAGGCCAAAATCTCCCTTATTAAAACTAATGTTCGAGTCAGTTCGTTTGCGATTAAAATGCAACAGGGATCTATCAAAATAATTAATCTGCCTCGTTGGGTAATCAGAATTTTGTGATCCTATATATTTTTAATCAGCAGTAATGGAGGCCAACTTGATCTGTGTTTGATTTATTTATGACTTTAATCTTTCACATTTTAGATGGATGTTTTGAATTATGCCCATTCCTCAAGGACACTGGGACCATGAAACACCTGCCAAGAAAGCACACCAAAATATATTTTTGTTTTTACAAATCCATGGTGCTCAAACTACCCTTAAAATAATGTGTGAAAATGCCAGACTGGAGTTGGTAAAGTTGCATGGGCATTTTGTTGCAGGCTCATCAATCATTCTTCACTCTGTTGTCCACCCACACTCTAACAGTTTGGTCCAGCTAATGATAGCCAAATTTATCAGTGTGTCTGGTGCCCCCTCTTGTCCCAATGTAGAAGGACACATCATAGCAGAAATATTTCATTCAGCTTCCTGGACAAAGCAATGATGTGAGGTTGTAGTAGGTTGTTTTGATTGACTCAAGTGAATTTGTGAGAGAACATCAGTGTTAAATGAGTGTTTCCAAAAAAGAAAAATAATACATAATTTTCGCCTGAATCAGGAGAAATGGATGGTTCTAGAGTGTTCTGTGATTTCTGTGTTGTGATCATTTTTTTAATCCCATCTGTACTCAAACTGCCAGAGTGTCATGTTATTTAATGTTTTTCCTTAAATATGCAGTTTGTAATTTTTCAGATCTGCCGCCTGTTTCTCTATGGAAAGGATCTTGCTTCGCTTGCCTTATGACACTATTTTCTAGCAGCTTATGAATATATTTTGAGAAATAATAAATAGAGTACTGCATCCTTAAATAATTTACAACCACATGTTCTCTGTACTTAGCCATGTGTTAATAACATTTTAACTTTTTTTCAGGTGCAGTGTTGGTGCAGTCCAGTCGTAAATCTGTATTAGATTCTCAGCGTAAAAACCCAGACTTCAGCCAGTCTGGACTGGGCTTCATGGCCCTGGGTGACCTCCAGTCGATGGCCCGAGAGGAGGGGGAGGGCATGGAGACGACAGAGACTGAGAGCCCGTCTCCTGCCTCCACGCCCCTACCATCTCTGGAGCAGCTCCTCTCATCTCCCGACCCCAAACAGGGTATGATTAAAGGAATAGGATCTGTCTAGCAAATCTTTTCATACATAGAATTAAACTATGATACTAGTTTACTATATGTTCCGATTGGTTTTCTCTGCAGAGACTTTTGTTTGGACTGTGGAACCAACCAAAGAAGAGTTGACTCAGAAGCTAAGCACAGCCACCCGCAGCTTGGAGCACATAAACAGCCTTCTACATGAGACTGAGGCCACTAATGCTGTTCTCATGGAGCAGATCACAGTATGTATCTGACACACTATCCTCACACCTACTTATTGGTACAGCTTCATCAGACAAAACCATGTCCCCATTTAAACCATCATAATGGTTGACAAATGTAATTATATTAATTTATATAACACTTGCAAATGGATCACTATTTATTATATTACAAGAATTGTAATATAAATTGAATTGAATTGTAAATGTAATGTCAATGGTAACTCAGTGGTAATCTAAGTGGTAACTAAAAATATTACACACAGATAATACAGTTATAAATAAAGTTTACTTGTGGTATCTTCTTCAGACTTTATTTGACAGCTGGGTCACAAACAGAGACAATGCTTCAAGTGCAAGTGTTTAAACTTATTAGTAGCTCATATGACTCTATAGGCCCCCACAGTGATATCAAACAGTTTTGCATTAGTGACATTCCCCTCTTTGTCCATGAGAAAGTAGAATTTATGCCCTTTGACCCTCAGAGGGATGAATGAAGCAGACTCCTGTCTGTGAGCGTAGCAGGCGACTTGGGACAGAGGCACTGTTATTTTGCGACCCTTTCCTGGTCCCAGTGGTGATTGTGTGCATACCGTCACCATTTTTCCACCTTGGTGTAAGATTACTTGATTCACAGATCGTCGACAAAACACAAATCCAAGCCCAACTATTCCTGCTCCAATGGCTAAACATCCAACGGTGAAGCCGTATCTCCAAGCGTCAGAGCCAAGGTTCATTTCAAAACTCCACATTCCCACAAGTCCCGTTGTTTTTGTTGCTTGGGTTTTCGTCTTGTCCTTAGATCCACTCGTGTCTCTCAGCCCTGTGTAGGCAAACTGAGCCAAATATGTCCAAAACAGAAATTGTCCACCGCAAAAGATGGACAGAAGGCGGAAGAAGCGCGTCCTGTCGTGGTCAAATAAGGTGACATCTCGGGACAGTTGTGCAGATGTACACAGGTTTGTCTGCTGCCGCTTAACAACATTGACAACCCGTGAATAAAGCCGATCTGACTTGTTTTTAATAGTTAATGTTTGCTCTACCCCATTTTGAAAGACGATTTGGTGCGTGTTTAGAAGTCGGAACTGTGTGGCGAAGCACCGCGATGAAATGCAGACAAGACGCTCCAAACCCATCTTAAACTTAGGAAATAACACTATAACACATTAAAAATATCGTCTTAGTGAAACACGATTTAAGCGTGTCAAGGAATTATGGAGATATTCTGTCAAATTACGATCATAAAAGCAGGAAACACGCTCGGCTCGGTTCCAGGCTGAAGAACAGCGCCATGTTGTGACGTTCTATCTGGACGACGGAAAGCTCATTAGGACAAAATGAAAAACCCTCGCTAAACGTCCAAATTCTGATATTCTTTATACGTGTGTGTATATATATATATATGTATGTGTGTGTGTGTGTGTGTGTGTGTACTATATATAAATAGCACATTACATTACTCCCTATAATTAAGATAAAAGTTAATATTATTTCAGCTTTGCTTTAAAGTGCCATAATTTAGTGTATTTGTTCCTTAGTTGTTGAAGAGTGAGATCCGTCGTCTGGAGCGGAACCAGGAGCGGGAGAAGAGTGTTGCCAATCTGGAGTATCTAAAGAACGTGCTGCTGCAGTTCATCTTTCTCCGATCAGGAAGTGAGAGACAGGCCTTGCTGCCCGTGATCCACACTATGCTGCAGCTGAGCCCAGAGGAGAAGAGCAAACTGGCTGCTATTGCACAAGGTAGGCAATGCACTTAATGCCATAAGTAACCCTGTTTTTATTATAATTAATGGAGAGGCAAAAGAAGGCTTATATGTGTTGAAATGCACTAGTTAAATTATAGTTATTAACTAGCTTGTTAGGACAAAAGTAAGAGGCATTTATTCGTTGATCTTCTTTTTGCCATGTATATAAAAGTTTGAGGACATAAACCACGAATGTTGCTTGCATTGAATTGTTTTAACCAAAAATATACTGGTTCAAATGCTGCCCGTTAGAATATCAATGACAGCTATTGACTGCAATTTTTATGTTTAGGTGAAGAGGAGAGCTCTGCATCAAGAGGTTCTGGTTGGTCATCATATCTCCACAGCTGGTCTGGGATCAGATGAGTTCTGCAACACAAACCAAACACTGGAAGCACAAATGTTTAAAGCATTTTCTGTGAAATTTATAAAAGGGAGTCCCTTTTATTTTTCCAATTTACATGGGACCAATGAATGTAACTGTGATAAATGAAGGATGTCTGTTGTTGGCTTATAAGATCTACAATATAATATCTAATACATGTGTATAGAATAAATATTCATTAATGCTCTTATTCAAAATGTGAAGATTGGTGATTGAAAAGTACCATGTGGCGTTACTAGTTAGAAGGGAACATTACATTAAGGTTTTATATTTATGAATTATGATATAAATCCAACAATATCCACTTATCTCAAACATTTTTTTTTTATTAGAAACATAATTAATGTCTAAAACACCATTTACATTCAGGATACCTAAACCATTATATCTGAATTCCAACTACTTTTTGAAGTAAGTACCATATAACAGACTCTTTCATAATTTTGTTATTGTATTTTTTTGGTGTTTAATCCAGTTTTTTGTAGTGTTTTAAATTAATCTCTGTTTTTACTTTAATACTGATTGGTTTGTTGTTGATTTGAGAGTATTCCTTAATTTCTTCCAATGATCTAATTGCAGGTTTATTGAGGATAGAGTTTGAAACATAATTTTGCTCTAAAGCTCTCTTGATTCCTGATTCCAGCTTTTGGGCAGCTTTTCTCAGTCATTCTCATACTGTGAATGTAATCTTAATGTTTATTTATGATGCTTATTTTTACTGTAATTCAATCATATCTGTAAAAATAATAAATTGAACTGGTGTTAAGTAATTGCATCATTATTTTGACTTGCATTTTGTTCCACTTATTTAGCCCATTGTATATTCTTGTATATTTGTACAATGATGTAATCTTGTTTGGGGTCTCTCTGACTTTTTCCCCATTGCTTCTGGAGGCTGGACTTTATGCACTTTCCTTTTATGGAAATAATATGCTGTTTCCAGGCATTATGACGCTATCCAGCCACGTTTTGTTGCCATCTTGTCAAAATACATTTCATTAGCAACGAAATGACTTCAAACTTCACTCATCTTTAGTCTGGGATCTTAAGTTTTCCTTTTAAACCGACATGCTGATGACTAACAATATTTTCCACACGAACGCTACGTTCATAAATGATGCTAAACCGCTACGTGGAGTTTGCTCGTATTTAAAATGAATACAAAACTAATACCATGAGTTCATAAACCCACATATAGGTTAACTCTGACAGCGCTATAAACTATTTTGAGAAAATGTAAAGTAAAAAGTTAGGATGTGTTGATCTAATGTTGAGCATAAAGTTGTGTAAAGGTAACAGAGACGGGCGAAAATGTGTGATTCTGCGGTTTCTTCAAAATAAAATGTATTTGTTTAAATTCAATTGAAATATTTTAGCACAAAGTAAAAGTGTCTAAATCACTCAAAATAACTATTCTCGTTTACTTAAATTGCTTACACATTTGAATATTGTGTAAATAATTCAGTAACTTAACATAGCCTATCAGATGTAAGGGCTTACTTTGACAGTTTAACAGGAAACGCTTTCTTGCTCTACAATGGTTGACGCAGAGGGAAGTGAGGCGAGGCCCGTGTCTGCGCCATTCTGCTCCTCCACCAGGGAACATCCAACCGCGGCACATCTGGATACGAGCAGCTCATCACGGGACGATCACGGGAGCAAAAGACTGCAAAGATGTTGGCAATAAACGAAATGACAAACGGGTGAGTAGAATACGCAAAAGGTTTTATTTGACCAGTTTTTGTATGAAAAGTCAAGAAGTTGTTGGGAATGTCTGAAGGAGCAAAAGGCTGCCCATGGAAAAGACTGAGAAAACTCTTATTATCCATCGTTACAGTAACGTATCTGCGCTTTTAGTAACGCTTGTGCAATATCTACTTTTGTGAATAGCTTTTTAGCGTTGTTACACTATTTATGCGTTTGAAAGCAGTTTTAAAGTCATTTTTCTCAAGTTTCTGTCTGAACTTCAGACATCGCTTCTCACGGACTCCCTCTTGTGTACACTTGAAGAAACTAACCATCTATGTCACTAATATGCTTATATAAAAATGTCATTCAGTCATTGATTTATACAGTATAAAGTTTGGACATAGCTATCTTTATTTGTCAGTATGCTTGTTTATATAAAATTATAAATGTGAATGAATGAATCTATAAGTTTGTTACAGTCTGTCATAGCCATCGCTATTAGTTAAGCTATTGAGTTAAAGTTGTATTTAGCATTGAACTATAGTCAATAGCCTCAGTTACACTATGCATAGGACCATTGACCTAAGCTATACCAAGCATTTAACGATTCTGCAAATGCTGCAAGGGGGTGTAACCTTACAAGTTAGTGACATAACCTTTTTAGCTTCAGTCATGTCAATCAACATAAAATATACTATCAGAGTTTTTATGCTTAATTTATTAATTTAATAAAATTAATTTATTTATCTCTTGCACATAATTAAGAAAAATGCGGGGTTTGTTTATATTTTAGTGGCTGCTCCTCCCTGGTCAGGAATGTCCACACAAACTGGACACTACTGTTTCCAGACCACTTCCTGACCCTCTATTCCCTGGAGACCTCTCTCTCTCGCTCTCTCTCCCCCTCTCTCTCCACCTCTCTCTCTTCCTCTCTCTGTTCCTCTCTCTGTTCCTCTATCCCCACTCTCTCTCCACTCTTTCTTTTTCTCAGTGGCTTTTCCCTCCTTTTGCTGAATGCTGCTGTGTGCACTGCTGAGCTAAGAATAGCCCCACATGAATTTGGCTTTCATTCTGGTGCACTCCAGACTTGAGGTTGGTAATATTTGACAAAAGTGAATATCTTGTGTATTTTGTTGATTTATATAATATTATAATAATCAAATGGTATTTTGCAATCAATCAGAAATGTGCTGTAATGGGCTTGTTAATGTTTGAGTTTTCGACAAATGAACTGTAAATAAACCACAAAAGTAAACCACATAAATGCAGTAATTTTGTAATTTTGCTTATCTTTGAAGCAACTATTTCTCAGTAAACACACAATGACAATGTATCACTCACCTCTAGTCCAGACACAAAGACCAACACATGAGATTTTTGACATTATAAGACAGTAATATGCATGATATTCATCTGGTCTACGTTTGTTGATACAACTACAGCTCAAAGGAATGCCTTCTGCACTGTGGACTTGTCCTTGTTTGGGAAACTGTGAGGGACTGCTGCAGGATAGAGCTGTCCTCAGAGTGTGAAACGTACCAGCATTGTGTAAACTCTATGTGCTAATAAGGACTTGAGCTGACATCGAATTGACACTTACTAATTGATACTAAAGCTAGTATTGAAACTAGACCCTACAACTATTACTGACTCTGTCATATAGGACATATTTGGACCTCTCTTGAATAGTTTTAGAGTTATATTGATCTATAGCAGCTTTTAGATTACTTATTTTGTGTTAAAAATGCAGACACATTTCTCAGTTTATTACATTACCTGAATTATCTAAAATGTCAAGTTCACAAATCTTTAATCAGATCATTTCTACTAGGGACTAGATCCTAGAACTCATTATATTACAACAAAAGGGAAAAAAGTGTGTTTCGTTACAAACATGCAGTCATAATTAAATATCAGTTCAGCAGCAAAAATAAAATAATAAGGCAGAATCTTGGTCAAGACTGAGGTAACATTTAGTAACCAATTTTTTACATGTTTTGGTTTATATTTATTTTGAATTTTGTCTTAATCTCCTCCTACATACATGACTCATACTAGTAGTTAAGTAAGTCATATTTAGTTGCTGTGAATGTGTGTACTTACTTGGAAATAGCTGAAATGGGGAAATGCTTTAAAATATTTCAAAGCCAAACTGTACACACCATTTGCACTTTCAGAGTCCCTGCTCTCACCTCAACCCGGAGACAGCCTGTTGCTAATTGTTTCATGGTCCCTTAACTTCACTGCAATTTTATAACCCTCTAACACCCCCCTCACTCCCACACTCATCAGACATTTCTTGTTCCTCTTTTACCCAAATTCAAATCATTTTTAACCGTCCCAATAAAACATTAATTTCCAAACTATTTTTCTAGGTATTATTTAAGCTTCCCTTTCCCTCTAAATGACAGGGGGCGGGTAAACAGTGTGGCCATGGCACATAGGCTTCAGTACAAACATAGACCACAGATGACACAGGAAGTGATGTGGCCATAGATAACACTGTATGTGACAGTCCCAAGAGACACTAAAGACATAGGCCTATCCCTGTTCAGTTCCGCTCAGCAGCATTTGGTAAGAAACAGGCACTTTATTACTATTATTATTTTATTACTATTATAGTAATTGTTTAATCATTTCGATTTTGCATTTATTTACTTGTCCAGTGTAGTCAATAAAAAGCCTTTGAGAAGGGAAGTTGCTTGCTCTAGTGGGAGATGTTCTTGTTTTGCCTGTATGTTGGCCAGTATGGGTTTAAACCTGCTAAGTTGCTGCAGTTTTTATTGCTCAAAACTGTGAAAACATGCATTTTTACTGTCACCAGAGCAGAGCCGACCTGTAACTTGGCCTTATGGATATCTTTAATGCCGTAAAAGTTACACTGTGCACCTCTAAGTTTATTTTGATTAATGACAATTCCACAATAAGTAATACAACATATAATTTAAGTTTGAGCAACTGTGTGGGGAAAAATATTTGACTTAAGTTGAAAAAGGAATATCTTAAAGGAAAATCTTAAAACCTTAGAGACTGGAGCTGTTGCAGTGAGTTTGACAATACTGGCTCTTGTGACAGTTTTGTAGTATCAGAGTTATCCACATGGTGGCAGTGTGTACTGCAAAACTCCTTACTGTCTGCTGCGATGTTTCCTGCCATGAACAAACTAGACAGCAAGAACTAGACAGTCTTTAGTGTGTGCTTCAAAGAGTTCATTAAAGCATTGAGAGCATCATTGTTTAAAATTTATGAAGTAATATTTAGTCTGCATTTGACACTTTTCTGGTAGAGATAATGGGAAATGTAGAGCGACAGTCCTGCTGACTTTTAGAATGCATTTTTGAAGGTATTCTAAGCAATAAAACACCTGTATTAGTAGTAGTAGTAGTAGTAGTAATAATAATAATAATAATAATAATAATAATAGTATACTAAGTTAAATACCATACTATGGAACATTTTAAATAAAGCAACATGATGATGATGGACCCCTCTCCACCAGAAAAGTTACATTGTGTCCCTTTAATTAAGTGAGAATCCAACTAACTTTGCTCTTGTCATGTCTTATATCTGGCTTCTAATGGCTTTGCTAGTGCCTGAGCTTGTTAAATCACATAAAATTTTGCCATGTCAGACCCTGCCCTCAATGACACTGCACCAAAGATTTTCCATTACAATTTCACCACATTTTGTTCTTTGTGGGTTGGTGCTTGAATTTACAACATCACCTCTGGCAATGAAATTTCACATATGACGTTTTTAGTGGCATGAATGTGTGAGGAATGCTGACAGGTCAAGACAAGCTGCAAACACAAATAGTGAACATGTGAACTAATAGTGGGATTTCATTTGACATTGATCCAGTTATTATCTTTGAATACAGTGATAATACTTCACACTAGTTTAAACCATAGGCCAGAGATACAAATATTAGGCGTTCTTTTTTAACTCTTTAACATACTGTATATAGCCACTTTGTTGCATTGAAGTACATTTAGACAGCCTTTGTAGGGATGCACTAATCTGATACTGGTATTGGTTAATTTTTTTCATACAAAGTTGTTCTGTTGTCACTTTAGA